AAATATTTTGGGTCTCAAAATGTTAAATTTCTAAACAAAATAAAAATATTGGAAATGTTCTCGTTTTCCTCATTGATGTAAAGTTTTAAATTTAAAGGTAACACTCAAATTAAAAATAAATATTTTTGATTACTTAGAAAAAAAAAGATTAAAAAGGATTTTTGTAAAGAGTTCTCTTATTAATTATCTGTCATTTCATCCAGACTGACCAGATTTAAAATGTTCTTTTTTTTTAAGTAAACTTGTTTTTAAATATTTCTCTAAATCAAAAATTTATGGGACTTTTTTTTATTTTTATAACAAATCTTCAGTTTGAAGCTAAAATAATAAAAAGATGTAGAAACATCTTTTTGATTTGTTGACAATAAAAACTAAAAGATTTTAAAAAATTAATATTAAAACTGTTTGGGAATAAAACAGGAAACACAAGAAGTGTTTTCACAACGTAAAAGAACAAAAAAAGAAAAAGTAATTTACTTGTTTTTTACGAGCATGAAGTTTATCCTCTCCAGTCTGTTTTTAAACTGAAGGAAATAATTCTCCCTCCTGACGAGTGATTCAATCTTTAAAACCTGGTTTTCATTTTATATTAAAAGCTTCTTTAGAAAAAATAATAATTCTTCAGAGGCAGTTTCAAGAAGAATCACTCGGTCAGGCGGAAACTTACTCAGTGCTGAACAAACAAAACAAAAATAAATAAAATGGAGGGAAAAGAATGAAGTAGTTGTCATTTCAGTGTGGTGGAGGGAAAACCTCACAGGGGGAGGGGCGTGTGTGATTGACAGTTCAGGAGGGCCAATGACAGCCAGGCAGGAAGGAGGTGGAGCCAATCAGAAGGCCTGCTGGGCGGGGTTATAGTTGAAGGTGGAGGGAACGTGGGGTCGCTCTTCTAGTTTGTCGTATTCCAGGTGAAACTCCTGAAAACAGAGAGACGTTACTCAGGAGCAGAGTTTAGCTGATGTTGAGTCAGGAGAAACCCAGCAAGAGCTGAACGACAGCTGAAGTCTGCTCAAGAAGCTAAACACTAGCTATAAACCATAAAATACCCGAATGTTAAAGCAGCAAAAGGCTAGCTTAAAACTCAAAAAGTATAACACTAGCTAAAAGCTAAATGTAGCAATATATTAGCTAAAAGCTAACTAAAAGGAGCAAAACTGTAGCAAGAAAAAAAAAATAGCCAAAGCTAAGCTATAGAATAAAGGGTTAGCTGAAACCTACAGAGATCAAACATCTAGCTAAAAGTCAAATGTAGCAAAAAAAGCTTGCTGAAATTAAAAGTAGGCTAACTCAAAATTAAAAAGACTAGCTAAACGTCAGCGACAAAAACAGAGGCAGCAGCTGAAGCAGATTTCAAGAACCAAACTATCGAAGGAAATCAAGAGATCTGAATGTGTTTATGTGGAGAAAACATTTGTGAAAAAAAGGTAAATAAAATAAAACTGAAGTTCCTGAATGAGGCGAATGTTTTGCTCTATGAACGGCTAAAATAACACAAAGCTGTTAAGATTGTAGAAAACAGGAAACATGAAGCAGAAGAAAAGAGAACGTTTAAACGTTAGAATCTTTAACGAGCTCCACTGATTAAACCCAAACTCTAAAGTTTTGGACGTTGCTTTAAGTTAGCGACGCCACTCGGCTCGACTTGTTGCCTCGCTCCGAGGATCGTCATTAGAAACTACACAGAACACCAACGCTAGTTCCAGCCACCCCACTTGTTCTTCTTACAGAGGTTTCCACAGAGGGTCCTCCTCCAGCTCTGGTCCAGAACGCAGCAGCCCGATTTTTAACCAGTACAGGCAAAAAAGAGCACATTACACCAGTTTTGGCCTCCCTGCACTGGTTACCAGTTCACCTTAGAATCCAGTTCAAAATACTCAT